TCTCTCTCTCTCTCTCTCTCTCTCTCTCTCTCTCTCTCTCTCTCTCTCTCTCTGCTGCCTGCAGCTCATGATGTAAATCTCTCAGCTTCTGTCTCTGTGTCAGGTTTGTCTGCTTCCTGCCATGACCATGGACGACTCCCTAAAACTTTAAGCAGTCTCTCGAATTAAAGGCTGTCTTTTGTAAGAGTTGCCTTGGTTGTGGTGTCTCTTCACAGCAGTGGACACTGACTAAGGTAATATTTAAAGCTATTGTTTAAGTGTGTTGGTTGTAGTCATCTTGCTGTTGATTTTGGAGCTGTTTGTGTTCTCAGTGGTATTTTGTGTTTTAATAATTATAGCTTTGGATTTTTTCCAGTTTCTCAGCTATGCTCATTAATCTCTTCAGCCCTAACTTTCTTTTGCTTCCTGTATTTTCTTGAGATTTAGTTTGTTTGATATAAATGTTTTAGGCTGTTTGTGTTGTTGAAAGTTTTTCCCTCTCCTTCAATTACTGAGGATAGCTTTTGCTGGATATATTAGTTCTGGCTGGCCATCATAGTTGTTTCAGAGTAAGAATGCATTTGTCCAGACTCTTTTGGCTTTCAAATGATCCTTTGAGAATTCAGGTGTTATTCTGATGAGTTTTCCTTTATATGTTTGAATTTTTTTCTCTTGCAGCTTTCAATGCACTTTCTTTGTTATGAATACTCAGTGTTTTAACTGTGATACGCTGTGGTGATTTCCTTTTCTGGTCTTGTCTATTTGATGGTCTGTGTGCTTCTTGTATTTGTGTGGGTATGTCTCTCCTTAGTTTGGGGAAGTTTTCTCCTACGATCTTGTTGAAAGCCTGAGTTATACCATTGACTTGGGATCTTTCTTCCTCATTTTTGCCTATAATTAAAAGGTTTGTTTTTTTTCATGGTGTCCCATTTTTCCTGTGTATTCTTTCCTGTGGTTTTCTTTGTTTTTCATATTTTTTTCTTATTTGGTCAAGAACATCAACTTTACCTTCAAGTCCTGGTTTTTGATATTCTGGTTGATTCTTTCTACTTACAAGGCTTTCCTTAGCATTTTCTAGTTAATTCATTGGGTTTTTCACTTCCATCTTCATTTCAGCTTGGGTCCTCCTCAGTGTGTCTATCTCCATGTTGAAGACATTCTCAAGTTCTGGATTTTCTTCAGTTCCTGTTGACTTTATTTTTATGTTTTCTTAGGCATCACCAGGCATTTGTGCTCCTTAAGACTTTTGTCCTTAATTTCATTGAGCTGTTTCTTGGTATCTTCTTTAAACTCCTTGAATTCTTTCATGAAGTCTATGATTGATCTTTTAAATTCTATGTCCTACAGTTCATCTATTTAATTCTCATTGGCAAACATTTCCACAGGCATGGGAAGATTTGGAGAGAAGACACTGGCTTGATCTTCCACATAGTTGGTATTCTTGCAATGAGCTCTGATATGTGGGCTTCCTTTGTTAATTCTTAGGTTTGTTTTTGCCTGTTTAGGCAGAGCATGTTGGGGAAAAAGAGAATTTTAGAGTGTGGATTAGGTCTAGAAGTTGAAAATGGCTTGAGTGGAATGAAGTCTGGGGGATGGAAGGGACTGAGCTGGTATACTAAACATGTTTCCTGTTCCCAGCCTAGAGTGTGAGAGTAGATCTGTCCTGGTGGAAAGGTTGAATATGACATGGGAGAGTCCTGTGGTTCGGGTAATATGTAATGAGGATCCTGGCGCAAGCTTAGAGTTCCTTTGCCATGCAGGCAGGGAAAGTCAGACTAAGCTGGTGCATTACTTATGAGACCCAGGTTAAATCTGGCAAGTTGTGGGGAAAGTATGTGTGGTGTGTATGAAAAAAGTGTGCATGAAGATGGCAGGAATATTCACCAGGCTAGACCTTGGTGAGGGATGTGTGAAGTCTAGGTACCAAGTGGGGTTGTGGGGACAGCACAGAAGGTACATATGAGTGGTTGCAGGTAGAGTTGGTCCTGGTAGAAGCCTAAAGCTTGGCTTCTTCACAGGCCTGGGTGGCCAGACCAGGCTGGAGCACTTGCTATGGGATTCATGCCAGATCTGGCTGATTGTGGAAAAACAAAGATGGTGTGTGTGGTAAGAGGTACTCACCAAGCCAGACATGGAGGAGGACAGATGGGAATTCTGGATATCTAGTTGAGTGATGAAAATGGTGAAGAAGCATATGTTTTTCTTACAAAATAGGAACTTACAAATACTTCTCAAAGCTTTTGTAAAAGTAACTATATATTCATTTGGAAGAAAAAGTATACGTATCCCATGTTGCAGGAGTGGAAGTCAGAGAACAATTTTCAGGTGTTGGTTCTTCCCTCCCACCATGTGGAAGCTGGGGATCAAATTTGGCAGCAATCACTTTAATGTCTCACAGATTTTATTTACAGTATCTACTAACCCATGATCTCTGGGTACAAATCTAGATATCTGGCTCCTAGACCTGATGTCTTCCTCCATGCAGTCCCCTCATCCATCATGCCTGGTTTAAACATCCTGACATGGACAGGTGGAGTTTCTCAACCCTTATTTGTCTTAAGCATTAGAACACCCCTAACTGTCATCATAGAGCCTTTCTCCAGTAACTGATGAAAGCAGATGGAGAGATCCACAGCCAAACACCAGGCAGAGCTCCAGGAGTCCAGTCGAAGAGAGAGAAGAGTGAATCTGTGAGCAAGGGGCATCAAGATCATGATGGGGAAACCTGCAAACAAACCAAACTAGTGGGGACTCATGAAATTTAGACCAACACCTGTGGAGCCTCCACGGGACTGGACTAGGCCCTCTGCATAAGTGAGACAGTTGTGTAGCTTGATCTGCTTAAGAGGCCCCCTGGCAGTAGGATCAGGATCCATCCCTGGTGCATGAGGAGGCGTTTTGGAGCCCATAGGTAGTGAGGAGGGGCTTGGACCTGCCTCTACTGAATGTACCAGGCTCTGCTGACTCCCCATGAGAGGCTTTACCTTCTTGTAGGAGGGAATAGGGGTCAGGTTGGGGGAGGAGGCTGGAGGGGTGGGAAGAGGGAAGAGGGGGATCTGTGAATGGTATGTAAAATGAATAAAAAAAACTTAATAAAAAAAAGAAATATGCCCAATGTCCACGAATGAAAGAACTTTTATTTACTATGATGTGTTCCTACAGTGGCACACCATTCAATTAAAAAAATATCAAATTATTGTAATCCACAGTACAAATGAGTTTCAAAACATTAAAATCAGTGAAAGAGGCCCAGTACAAAGAGGGTGCCCACCATGCTAGCATTTCTGCGAACACAGCAAGACTCTACACTGGTGGCAGAAGTTAGACCAACAGTTAACTGGAGGAGGAGGTGGTGATATCCAGAAAGGACACAAGAAAATCGGCCATGTCTTCACTTTGATGTCAGGGAAACAGTGTATGTACTTGTCAATAATCATTGGATTGCATGCTTAAGATTTTTACATTTCACAGGATATAAATTGCTAGTCAATGGAATGCTGCCATTGTGAATGAGGCTCCAGCACTCATCTCAGGACATGAGGTAAACATGGAAATGGAAGGGCTTGGTGATAGACAGACATGACAATGTTTCTACCCTGAATCACTTACTTCTTCACTTCTCTCTTATTTCAGATTCTGTTCCTTGCAACCAAAACCTCATCTAAATGGCATTAAATATCTAAAACTATACATGCAGAACAATTACTTACTATTTCACTAACATCATAGAGTGGCTTTGAAGATTCCAAGAAGTAATGGATGTAAAAAGGCTTTGAAATATGCAAAAGCTATTTACTCAAATAGAATGCATATCAACCACTCCAATGATAAGTCCAAACAGGGATTAGGGGCATCTCATGGAGTTTATAAAGCTGATATCTTTTCATTGCAAGATAATATATTAACATCACTTTAATAGTTATAGTTTAATTAAGGTAACATCACTTTAATAGTTATAGTTTAATTAAGGTAACTCCTAAAAAAAAAATCTGCCTTGCTTCCTGGTATCCTCATATCTGACCCAATCCCCTTCCAAATGATGAATTCTGTTGGCATCACCTTGATATTTTTGTTCATTGAGTAGCTCAGTTCCTGCTGTGTATGATAAGGTTACCTGGAAAGAGCACAG